GGGGTTTGGGGAAGAAACCACAGAGTCAGGTAGAGTATTCCAGACATTGACCACTTTGTTGCTGAAGTCATATTTCCTGCAATCAAGTTTGGTGTGGTTTACCTTGAGTTTGTATCTATTGTGTGCTCTTGTATTGTTATGGTTGAAGCTGAAGTACTCATTGACAGGTAGGACATTGCAATGTATAATTTTATATACTATACTTAGATCCGATGGAAGGTGGCGTAGTTCTAGGTTTTCTAGGTCTAGAATTTCAAGTCTGGTGGCATAAGGACATCCACTTTGATTTCACCAGATGGGCAAAAGTAATAAGGTTAAATGTCAGAAATGGGACAGATCTACTGTATCTGTGAATCCAATAAGGAAGGCTATGATCTATACTCCATCTATTCAGGGACAAAAAAAATAGGGAGATATTGTTCTAAGGAGTCCATCTACAGCACCAGTAGATGGTAACAAAATTGGGCTGGTGACTATTTCATCTTCTAAATTTAACAGATGTAGGAGCCTGGGTTTCAAATAACTAGTTCTTACCTAGAACAGAAATCTTGGTCTCAATTTCTGTTTCAGGCACCTTGTCATCTAATTTATTGGCTATGACCGTTTGTTCCTGGGTTCCATCTAAAAAATAAAAAATAAAATGAGGAAAATTACAGGAAAAGAAATACCACATTACACATCAGATATCTCTTTGACATTATTTCTAATAATCATTTGTAAATGGAATTCAACACAATTATTTTATTAAGCACTTAACAGAAAGGAATATAATTGTCTTAAGCACATAACGTTTGCAAAATAAAATAACTTTTATTTGCAACTGGCATGGTAAAAAGAGCCTCTCCTTTCCCTGGAAACAATAAAGCATGTGGGTGAAAGGACTTAGTAAAAGGTATAATGGGAATTAATGAGTAAGAATGAGAGTTACTCACCAACTCCTTTTACGCTTGGGTCCAGTTCAAGAACAGTCACAATATTTTTCCGTTCCCCTTCGGGCTTTTATAGAAAAAGACATCAGAATACTCTTTTCTGAGAGCCTCGTTGCAAATCAAAATATCATGCATGACAGCAGCAAATACTTCAAAATGGAAATTACAAATTTAAAAGACTCCTCTGTAGCATCTCTTAGAAATGTAGTAAAATATTCAGAATTGGTGCTTGGATGCACAATAGGAAAAGACATAGGTCACCCTCATATCTTCTCAATAGCCAAATCAGCATGGCCCTCTATTAAAGATTCATTTCTATTCCACCAGTCCACATGGGCTCTTAATGGATCCTTGCCCCTTCCTATAGCTGAATATCCTGGGGGCCCTGGGCTTCCTTATCTCAGATTAAGGGTGAGTGGGCCAGAATGTCTCTGGTCACGGAAGAGATTCTTACTTATTCTTACTGTACTTTCTTCCTCTCCAATAACAGCTGCTGTATGTTATGTGTGTAGCCCTGCCTCTCACAGAGTGATGTTCCATATATCCGATGAAGTATTGATGATAAAAGCATTGCCAGTCTTTAAAATGTTGCAATGCTGATATGACTTTTGTTGCACAAGAGTAACACTCCTCATCCTCTAGAAACAGTTTAACAATGAAGTCAGCCCTGTTGCTATTTGGGCTTAGTCTATCTTGGGTGACTTCCAGATAAGTTAGACTTGCCTGTGGTGATTGTGAATTCTGGGATATATCTTGGGATCTATTGTCCCAGCACGTGCTTGTGCTGGGATCTATTGTCCCAGCACGTGATTGTCCCAGCACGTCCCAAAGGGCCTTCCTCCCACATACATGTGCCCAGGAATATCTAAATAACAGGAAGCATCATCCAAAATGATTTTTCTCCAGAACTCACTGAAATTCATGGGGGTTTATGATTTTCTCCTAATTTTCTTTAAAATTTATGTTATTATTTTACTATTTTATACAAAATACAATCCTATGCCAACCCATTCATCAATCTGTTCTGCCGTGGAACTTTAAATACTATTTGCATCCTGGGTGTTAACTAGTACTGTTATCCTACAGTAATATTCTTGGGGGTCAAACATTCATGCTATTGCTTTACTTCTAATTTCTAATAAAAATCAGTGCTAACTGATTTTAATGCTTTAATTTCTGTTAGGTTGCTGTACTTTGGTCATATCAAAGAATGTATTCACATGTGATTTTATAATCTAAATATGCAGCCCTACTTCTATTTATCTATTTGTTCAGTCTTTCCCAACTTGATACTTTCCAGATACGTTGAATAACATTCCAGTTATCCCCAATTACCCTACCAATATCCATATATACCCTTCTAAAATTGCTTTTGATGATTTGCCAGTCTCTGAAACTGTTTGTAGTGATCGAAACAACCAAGAGTTTAGGAAGGAAGGGTTTTGCATCCATCTGTCAAACTTCCTGGCATAAAGAAATGCAAGAATGCCTTCCTGTGGTCAAATAACAGATTACAAGTACAGGTAGTCCTCAACTTATGACAATGGAGCCCAAAGTTTCTGTTGCTAAATGAGTCATTTGATAAGTGAGTTTTGCCCCATTTTACAACCTTTCTTGCTAAGTGAATCACTGTGGTTGTTAATTTAGTAACATAGCTGTAAAGTGAAATTGGCTTCCTCATTGGTTTTGCCTATCAGAAGGTCACAAACATTGATCACATGACCCTGGGACACTGCAACCATCATAAATATGAGCCAGTTGCCAAGCATCTGAATTCTGATCATGTGACCATGGCGATGCTGCCATATTCGAAAGTGTGAAAAACAGTCATAAGTTACTATTTCAGCACCGCTGTAACTTTGAACAGTCACCAAATGACTACCTGTACCAGACACTAGCAGATCGCAACTTGCAATATTAATGGCAGCTAGCCTTATATTGCATTTTTATTATACTCAGTCTTCAGTATGAATTATTTTTGAAGGGAATCAACTGCACTCACTTCCTAGTGGTTGACAATTATTTTTCAAATCTGTTTCTAACCATCGTTCCCCAATCTTCTGCTCCCAAACTTCATTTTGAAAATCTTGTTCTCAATAGCTGAGACCTATCCATTCAGCCCCAGCTTGAGCTGTTGTGTATAGTTGAGTTTGAATGGCTTCTATTTCTATGGTCTTGAAATGGCTGGTTTGATATTTCTCTTTTCAGAATTCAATAAGTGTTATTACATTTTTTTAAAATTTGTGGTGGGCAAGCATTTTATGGGTGAAGACAAAGATGTTATCCCATTCCAGTCCAGGGATAGGAGGGGAAACACATAACTACCCTGGCAATACCACAGTGCCTTGTCCTGTGCCCAGGAAGCCAGACCAGCCTAGGGAACTCCTAAATTAATCTGACTAGTCACCCAACATACTTTCTTTTTCTTTTTGGCAGTATTGCTATTGTTGTGGACTATTTTAGCTGCTTGGTCATGTCTCACACCCATCCACCTACCCACCAAATCACACCACTGAAGCGTAAAGGGTAATTGTTTCATATGGCAGGGAATTTTTTTTATTGCAACTGGGGGAGGGATTGGGAGGTGGGGGAGAAAAACTGGACTAAAAGAATCCTGGCTGCAACATATTTGGAGCATATTTGGTTTGCATGAAAGAATTCTCCTAAGCAATGAGCTCTGCCCCCATTCTGCCATTTTCAAACCAACTGATTTTTGCTATGAGAAGATTCTAGGAGTTTTCAAAAGACAATCAGAACATCAAATATAGTCCAAGATGAATAATAAACTAGACCATTTTAGCCACTATGGTAGATATGTCACTTTGTGTTGTTACAAATTATGTTTTGAGACCCAAAGGCCTTTTTGTTGCAATAGGGGAAGATGCATTCATTAATAAAATTATGGTAAATAGTCTTTATCTACAGCGATCTCTGGTTAAAGCTTCTCTTTCTCCAAGAGCCAAAATGTAACCCCACTTGTTACTTACTACAACTTTCAGCTTCTTCCTCACACCATCTGACGCCAACTCTCCCCGGACACTCGCTTTGACCTCAACATCATGTAATCCTTGCTGTAATGGGACTATCACAAACGGTACTGCCCAGGAGGACAGGGCTCTAACTGGGACCTGCACTCGGTATCTTTGTCCTTCTGTGGAAGCATTGCAGAAGGCTGGGTTGTATAACAGTTCCACTCGCACCTAGTGGAGGTGAAAAAAAGCACATAAGCCACCAGGCAGCTTTGGCCATAAGAATCATTTAAAATCCAGCTTTCCCATAGATGACACAAACACATTCCCCACCAAATCTGTCCCTACACCAGCAAATCATTGTGACACATGGAAGGAAAGACAGAAGAAGGGTACACACAGAGCACACATACATCATATCATGCAATTTATCCTTCCCTTTGCTTCTTCATAGACTGGTAGAAAATAGGACTGTGTGAACAAGTCAGCATTTATACAAATAAAGCCACCCAAATACCTGAGCCCCATAAGTGCACTTTTAAATGGAAAACACAAATGGAGCAGAGATGATGATCTAAACCAGTGTTTCTTAAAGTGTGATCTGAGGAAGGGTCCTCTAAAACCCTCACCGGGGCTCACAATATCAGAATTATTTGCCAGGCAGTAAAGGTATTTGCAAACATTTCTCATTATTATGTTATTTTTTTTCATAATATTGTTTTTATATTATTCAGTAAATATTCTGCAAATGCATCCCTTTTAATTTTTAATATGGTAAAGATTGATAAATGTAGCCCATGGGAATAGAAGCTCTTTGGGGGCCCTCCATAATGTTTAAAAGCGGGAAGAGGTTCTGACAGCAAAATGTTTAAGCAGCTCTGGTCCAAACAGTCTTGCCAAATCTGCCCACCATTAACTCCATCACTGGCACTTTTTTATTGGTCAGAGTGGCTTAGAGTTGGAAATACATAAAGTTTGTCTGTCAAAGAATTGATAGCAACACAAGACATGCACATTTCCTAATTTCTAGACCCGCACTCTTTTCACAGTCCCAAAACTTACATAAATATCCTTGTCAGCATAGTTGTACAAAACAGCTCGAATCTCCACCTGCTCATTCTTCACTACTGAATACGGCACTCGAAGATCAATGAAGAAGTCTTTCATGACTGTTATTTCATAAGGTTCAGCCACGCAGATCCCTGCAAGGAAGGCCAATGGCAAAGCCCAACAACAACAGCACCCCCCCAAAAAAAGTTAGTTCTACTTTAATTCTTAGGTGCTTTTCACCCCTGCCAACTTTCTATCATTCATAATTCTTTACCTTTGGTGGGTGCAATGCTCACAGCCAGCACCTCCCAGGTTGTGATGGAATCCTTCAGATACAAAGGTAGTGTCTTGCTTGAAATCCTAGGGACAAAATGAAATGTGACACATAATTTACAGAGCTATTATACTGTGCATTTTAAAACTAGTATAGATAGACAACTCCTACAACTACCAATCATACAGCATCCTTCCTTCCAAAAGGGTCTGAGAATCAATGGGAAATACAAACAAGTTCCACATGGAAGTTGTTGTCAGCTATTTCTCCCATTAAATTCTAAGTTTGCAACAGAGGCAGAGGTGGTATTCAGCAGGTTCCGACTAGTTCTGGAGAACCGGTAGCAGAAAGTTTTAGTAGTTCGGAGAACTGGCAAATACCACCTCTGACTGGAGATTTTACAGTATCCTTCTCCTGCCACGCCCACCAAGCCACATCCACAGAACCGGTAGTAAAAAAAATTGAATCCCATCACTGAACAGAGGGGCTTCAAAATAAAACACCCATTTTGAAAGCAATCAACAGTAATATGGGAAACAGATATGACAATGCAATTTGATTGCTGCTGGATAAATAATAAACTACCTTTTCATAACTTTGAAATCAACTTCAAGGTGACTCACTGTCACATTTCCTTTAAGCTTCCAAAGCTGCCATGTGATGGGAGATGATGCACAACAAACTGGTCTAGTCCAAGTGGCAAGAGCTGAAAAGCAGCTTTCTCCACAGCTACCATTTCCTGATCCTTCTACTGTTCTCCATATAGTAGAACCCAAGAGGAAAGGTGCATTATTGCTGCTAATGGAATCCTTCAGTGTGAAGCAGTGTGAGAAGTGGAAAACAGCATATACCAATGTATATCTCTACTTGGCTGAAACTAGTTTTTTTCCCAATGGACCTAGGTCCTTTGATCCTGACTGATAAATCTGGATCCACTTGGCTAAGATTAATTTATCAAAATTCATGGTCTTTCAAAGGATGGTGTGAGTTTAAGCCTTAAACAATCAATTATGGATGCAGAAAGATAATTACATTTGTCAGCCTTTCCTTTTTTAAACCAGCAAGATATTAAAACTAAATATTCATCTTTAAATTTAGAAGAGCCTAAACCTTAGCACGTTTTAAACATTTCCAGCAACTATTCCTGTAGGAAAGTTTGGAGAAATCCCATATCTTTAGGACTTTGTCCTTGTGACTGTTGTGAACTAAAGAAATATAATTAATAAAGATTCATTTGCCTAGCAGGATGGTAATCCTGCACGTCCTATTGGCCCATATAATGGCGAGTTACGATTGGTTCATTCCGAGCAATCTGACTGGCTGTTGGCGGGCCGCGCCAAGATTCAAACGCTATAACTCTATCCATTGGTTATCCGGATAGCAGCTTACGCTATAAAAGAGTGACTGCTAGCCGGGGTTCTGTTGTCTCTGTTATGCTTGTGAATAAAGAGCTGAAGTTCATGGTTTACAGTCTGGTCTCCGTTCATTAAACCCATGCCTCAAACTTAACACTGGCGACGAGGATGGGATACGGAGACAATAGAGCTGACTAAACCCTACAGAGCACCAACCGAAGCACGTGGCTGAGAGCGCATCTACATCGGCAGGATGTCAGGTGGCGCTATACCACCCGCTCCTGGGAGTCTGGGAGTCGTATATGGATCGGTTTCAAATGTTTCTAGAAACCAACAATTTGAAAGACGCAACAGCCGGAAAGAAGCGGGCGGTGTTCTTGACCCATTGTGGACCAGCCAGTTTTAGAATGGCGAAGGCGCTCGCGAAACCGGCTGAGGTGACAGCAATGGATTGGGACAACCTCGAGCCTATCCTACGGGCTCACTATGCCCCCGCCATACCAACGTTGGTCCGGAGACACGAATTTTATCAATGGGATCAGCGGAAGGGTGAAAGTATTGCAGACTTCATCGCTGACCTGAGAAACCTGGGAGGCCTCTGTGGCTTTTCAGACCTAGAAGAAGCTATGCGAGACCGCATAGTTCTGGGATTAGATGACCACACAGTACAGAGCAAGATCATGGCAAAAGGGGACATCGATCTTGCAGATGCCATTGCTGACGCTACTGCAGCAGAGGCAACCAAGAAGTCGGCCGCTCGAATGCGCCGCACCAACGCGCCGCTCCGTCAATTCGCCCACGAAGCCTCGCCTCAACTAGAAAGACACTCAGCAACAGCGCACCATGAGGACCTCGAGTCCCAATCCGAGAGTGATGAAGAAGAGGTTAACAGACTTCGTGCCGAACGAGATCAACAAACTCTAAAACTTCAGCGCCCATGTGCGGGTTGTGGGGGAAACCACCCGCGATCCGGTTGCAAATTCCTCGACGCAATCTGCCGTTCCTGTGGGAAGAGAGGCCACATCGCATGGGTCTGCAGAAGTAAGAGGGAATTCAACACAAATAGAAAGGAGAACAACCTCCGCCAAACCACAGGGAACCTCCCTGCAAATCGGGATCATTTGAATAACCAATGGAGCAACCATGCCTACGGCAGCAAAACATCTGCTCTTCCAGCACGATGAGAAGAGACACACCAGACTATTATTATCGGCCACGCTTCGTCATTAGACAAACAAAAGATCCGAGTGGAAGTGGCGATCGAGAACAAACCTTGCCTGATGGAAGTCGACTCCGGATCGTCCCTCTCGATGGTTTCCTGGAAGACCCTTAAACAGCTGATCCCTGCCATCCATCGGCAAGACCTCAGAACACAGAAATTCATCCTCAGAGATTACCAGGGGAACACGATCCCAGTCGTCGGAGTGAGTCAAGTCAAAGTATCTTTTAAAGATCGTGCCATGTCACTCCCATTAACTGTCATCGATGGTGACCGGCCCAGCTTACTAGGCCTACAATGGTTCGCCCCACTCGGGATCGAGGTGGCCGGCATTCACCAGACTGGAAGCGACGATTGGGAAGAGAGCATCGTCCAGGAATTCCACGACGTGTTTTCGGACAACTTAGGCAAGTACAAGGGGACCCCTATATCATTTAGCCTCAATCCAGAAGTAGCCCCTATCCGCCTTAAGCCTTGTCGGGTTCCGTTCGCCCTTAAACCCAAGATTGACGAGCAACTTGATAAGTTAATAGCCCAAGGGGTGTTGGAGCCTATTGACCACGCCCGTTGGGAAACCCAATCGTAACCCCCATCAAACCGGATGGGTCGATCAGAATTTGTGGAGACTACCGCGCCACTCTGAACCACGCACTCCAACAGAGCGCTTATCCGGTGCCGGTAGTTCAACATCTTCTCCACTCCCTGGGCGGCGGGAAGATCTTCGCAAAGTTAGACTTAGCGCAAGCGTATCAACAACTACCCGTTGATGCGGAAACAGCAGAGGCACAGACTATCGTTACACACCGAGGTGCCTTTAAATGCAACAGACTCCAGTTCGGAGTGAGTGTAGCCCCCGGGATATTTCAGAGTCTAATGGAGAGACTTCTACAGGGAATAAAAGGGGTTCTACCATACTTCGATGACGTGTTAATTGCTGCCCCAAATAGAGAAGAGCTTGAAAGGCGTCTCAGATTGGTTTTACATAGATTTAAGGACGCCGGTCTCAAGGTTAAAAAAAATAAATGTCAACTATGCACTGAAAGGGTAGAGTTTCTCGGATACCTCCTCGATAAAAACGGTATCCACCCTACTGAAAACAAACTCAGGGCAATCAAGAACGCCCCAAGACCTAAAAATAAGACTGATCTCCAGGCTTTCCTGGGACTTATTAACTTTTACAACATCTTCTTGTCCCAGAAGGCGACTGTAGCTGAGCCCCTACATAGACTTCTCGACAAGAAAGCCACCTGGGTCTGGGGACATCGAGAAGAACACTCTTTTCAAAAAGTGAAAGACTTATTAACATCCGATGCTGTTCTAATGCAGTACAACAAGACTTTGCCATTAAATATTACGTGCGACGCATCACCGTTTGGGGTTGGAGGCATTTTGAGTCACGTGTTACCAAACGGGCATGAAGCCCCCATTGCGTACTTTTCGCGAACATTATCGAAGGCTGAATGAAACTATAGCCAACTTGACAAAGAGGCTCTTGCTATTGTATCGGCCATGAAGCGATTCCACGAATATGTGTACGGGCGGCCCTTTACTCTAGTTACAGACCACAAGCCTCTACTTGGCATTTTAGCAGGTGATAAACCAACCCCCCATATATTGTCGCCTAGAATGACTCGCTGGTCAGAATTCCTAGCAGCCTACAACTACGTACTGCAGCATCGCCCGGGGAAAGCCATTCCCCACGCTGACGCTTTTAACCGTTCCCCACTTCCGGAAACTGTCAGCGACCCAGCTCCAACCCTCAATACGCTGCAAATTGAAACCCTCAACTCGCCGCCACTAACGGCAAGAGATATCGTTGCCGGCACAAAACGAGACTCTATCCTCGCAAAAGTTCTCAGTTGGGTCGAACGCGGGTGGCCAGTCGAAGAAACCCCCGCCATTTTTGCACCGTTTAAGAACCGGCAACCGGAACTATTCTCCCAGAAGGGCTGCATCTTATGGGGAGATAGAATCGTCGTGCCAGAGAAACTACAGTGACTCGTGTTGCAAACCCTGCACGAAGGACATCCGGGCATCGTCCGCATGAAGGCTCTCGCTCGAAGCTACGCGTGGTGGCCTGGCATCGATAAACAAATTGAAGCCTGGGTTACCACGTGTAGAAACTGCCAAGAAGTCAGCAACGCCCCACCAAGAGCAATTCCCACCGAATGGGAAACTCCTCGAGGCCCGTGGTCCCGCATCCACATTGATTTCGCGGGACCCATGAAAGGACACACTTTTCTCCTAACCGTGGATGCTTACTCCAACTGGCTTGAAATCCACAAGATGAAAAGCACAACTACTGACTCTGTTATTAAAAAACTAGATAGATTATTTGCAGCACACGGTTTCCCGGACGTTCTAGTTTCCGACAACGGACCCCAGTTTACTGCTCTCACCTTCGAACAATACTTGGCGGACCAGGGCATCCGCCATGCCTTAACTTCGCCGGCTCACCCTGCGGCAAACGGTAGGGCAGAACGGATGGTTCAATTCCTTAAAAAGACACTCCAAAAAATGGATCCGGGGGACATCGATGCTAGATTGAACAAAATACTCTTACTACAACACATTACCCCCCACAGTGTCACCAACAAGACCCCAGCCGAACTTTAATGGGGCGGAAGCTTCGCTCCCACCTCGACCGACTACACCCGTCTTACTCGCCAGAGAAACCTTGTGGATCCAGTGGAACGTAT